AGTACATGCCTCATTTCCGTTTCTATAAACACAAATCTGGTATCTTGTACATTATTGCCCCCATTTCATCACCCCTAATAGGAACTTTTCATGTTCATAGATAAATCTCAATCATTTCTTGAAGTTCCTAAATGAATCTTATTTGATTCCCAAACATTCGTACAGTTTGCGGGATTTTGTCGAATTGGCGAGAAAGTTTTTGTTAATCAAAAACTTTTGCGGAAGGGTCTCCAATATGCAATTTCGTGGCAGTATCTTAATCCAATCATAATTAATTCTTATGTTCCTTAACAGCTTTGTAACAGCCAGCCTTTTGGGACCCATGAACAAGCCGAAGTGTCAGGAAAAGTTCCGATTTTCGCAAACTTTTCGTAAATATGTTGTATTAGTTGCAAGCCGAGATGCATATTGCATTCCACAGAGGAGCTATGTTGACGAACTTGTCTAGATGGCGATCGTCTTCTGCTCCAGTGCGTAGCGCCTCCTCTATCAGAAGGCTTTGATGACCTGCCTGGTGATAAGGAGTCATGCGCCAATGTCCAAGTACGCACTGGCATACTTGCGCTGCCCAGGGATGTATGCGATGCATGCGCTGTGCCAGAACGCACCTTAGGTGATGATTGAAGAATATCTGCCCAATGAGTGATGGTGAGAATGACAGCTTTGACCTCTAGATTGTTGATGTGTAAGCTCCTGTCGGCACTTGACCAACATCCCGCAGTCTGATGATTGTGAAGGTGAGCACCCCAACTGACTGTGGAGCGTCTATGAAGAGGTGGCGTTCCAGTGCAAATGGCAGCAAGGAGACTAGGGCGCAAACATTCAAATCTTGAAGCCACCGCCGAAGGTGTTTATGGAGGGTCAACGGGAGGCGAATCTGGATCTCACAATCGCTCTTCTGGAGGAAGACATCAAAAGTCTGAGGAGTTCTTGCCACTGCCGGAAAAGTAACGGCTGTCTAAGAGCCAATGGTACATGTCTTTATATCTTTGCCCACCTGTCTGGGGGAACAAACATCTTTCACACCTGAGTTTCGAAAAGGGCGCCGATAAATTGGAGACACTGAGTTGGGATCATCTCTGACTTGGACACATTGATCAACCAGCCTAGTTGATGAAGTAACTTCCTTGTAAATTCTAGATGTGTCACCAGCGTCGCTGAGATGGCATGAGCCTGGATACAGTCGTCTATGTAGGCCTCGAAAACAATGACTCGGCAAAGCAGAAACTGAGTAACTGGTTTCATGAGATGGGGTAAATAACCACGGGGCCATAGAAATTCCAAACAGGAGCACCATCCACTGATAGTGCATCCTATTGTAGACGAAGCGGAGGTACCGACGATGATCGCAGTGAATGAGGATGTGGAGTCGCCTGGATGAATGATTGTGTGTAGTAACACGATGGAGATCATGCAGAAGTATGGTGGAGGCTCCAGGTATTGAGAGTTGAAGTCCTTCGTGTTGAAGATCAACCGCTGTCCTTCGGAACATGACGTACTGAGGTTGACGACAAAGGCGCTGCTGATCCTCAAGCTGCTGTTTATGGAGTTGGATGTCAACACTAACTTGCAGCTGGGTGTCCTTAGCGATGTCCAAATCTGGGGCTGATGAGATGGAGGAAGTTGTAACTTGTCCCTATGGCGGCGAAAGGAAGCAAAAGCCAGATCCAGATTCATGCTCATATCCATGAAAACCTGTTTAGGTGATAAGGTAAGAGTGTTTGAGGAGGGACCAGAGATCACAAACCCAGAGAGCCAATCCTCCTTAGATGTACTACGGGGGAAACCAAGTTGATCCGCAATCCAGAATATAATCATAATCACAATGAGAGAAGACTGACGGAGAAGACGGTGGATCATTGAAAGCAGTAGTAGCAGGAGGAGGTAAAGTAGGAGTCTCGGAGTTCCTTGAATGTCGACCTAGAGAGCAGTGACGATCCAATACGGGATGAGAGGTCTGTTTATCCCAAGAGAAATGTCATCTGTCATCTGTCATCTGTCATCTTGTGATTGATGACGATCCGTGTGTCCGGCAGGCGAAGTCGCACGACGGTCGATTTCACGATCAGATGACGTATCGATGTGTTGAAGTATCAATACGTTGATGAACAGTAGAGTGACAATCCCTCAGGTTTTAATCTGTAGAGGAGGCGAGCTGCCGATCCACAGAGGTACAATTCGTCAAACTGTCAACATGATAATCCAACAAAAAACGGTGACTTTCCTTGGAGGAATGGCAACTTGTCGAAAATGGCGAAGCATGGCGATCTATCGATCCCTTGATTGCTCACAATCCAACGAAGCTCCATCGTCCATCGGTGAACGCTGGTTTCTCTTTTTCGTTCACACGGGCTATCGCCATCCGAAGGCCGGAGAGCTGTAACTGTATCCTCAAAGCGCAGGGAGCAGCAATGACCCGACTCCCAGTCGGGTAGGTGGGAGAAGCACCCCTCTGCTGGCTGTTTGGACTTTCCCAACGTTTGGACAAGGGAGACCCCCATCTTCGCAATAAGGGGGAAAGGCTCAGATGACAGTACAGTTCGGTGGTCATTAGAAAGCAGGATGACTGCAGGCGATAGTGAGCCATCACATGCAAGGGGCGTGTTCCGTTCAAGGGCGGGAATGTCAGCATTTAAAAACAAATCTGATAGCAAATCTTCCTCAACGGAAAGCGATGCAACTGTTGCCTATTTAGTAAATTTATTTCCTTTCTTCTTGCAAGAAGATGAAGGCACAGTCAGATGAGATCACAAGTCGCTTGGCTTTTTTAGCGGCGGAAGGGTCGTGCTGGGAATCCTTAGTCAGAAACCTAAGATCAGCCGACTGTTTAGAACACTTTCAGAGGTAGGTTTTGAATTTGTGATTCAGACAAGTTAACACACTATTCACATCGTGTCGCAAGCTCACATACCCCACGGCAATTGCAACAAATAAGATGAGGATTGAGTAGGGAAAACAGACAATGACAGTCGGAGCAGAGGGGGCGTGAAGACTCCAAACATCGTTTTCTTGGAAACTTGGAAAAAATAAATATTCTCTGTTCAAGTGACGTCTTGACATGAGGCAATAGAATTGAGAATGAGGGTACTGAATGTGTCAGGTGGGATGTGTTTTTGAAGCTGGAAATTTTGTTCTAAGACGTTTCCACACCAGGATCGAAGAACAAGAAAAAATGCATAGTGTGAGAAAGGACAAGTTTAAAAATTTAGATTGATGAGAAGTGTGGCTACCTTCATTTTGTTCTTGGCTCCTTTAAATTTCAAATGGCTCCCTGAAAAATATATGAGGGAGCCAAGTGGCTCCTTTGAAAAAAAATTAACAGGGAGGCCTGCATAGACAAAGATGATTTGGAACAACATGTTAAAGAGGCTTCAGATGGACTTGAAGAAAGCTTGGCTACCTATGAAAGTCGCATTGATAATTTGATATTGAGTCGCATTTTTGGCTATGGGTCAGCAGTCGTATTAATTTGGAGAGGCATTAATGTTAAGATTCACAGTGTATGTTTCACACTTGCAAGATGGTGTATACAAGCAGAAAGAAGTTATATTTCATCCTACTGGTGTTGCACCTAATCTAGGAGGTTAAAATGATGTTGAGGTTAGAAACCCCAGTAATAACAACTTGTAGTAGTTGTACAATCTTGCCTGCACTGATGATAACAAATGGATTAAGCCCGAAACCCGAAACTGGCATCTAAATATGACCATTAGTCCAACATATGTAATGACGAAGGGTCAAAACATCATGTACATAAAATAATGAACCGTGGCATTATACTGGGGCTTATTGTCCATCAGAACGTACAGGTGTTTTCGTTGCTCTACTGCTTGAGAAACCAGACCATATGTTAATGAGCCACCCAGCATTAAAAAATATTAGCTTAAACTTGGTTACTGAATTTTATGATGTATTAAATAATTTGAAGTCTTTAGGTGGAGGCTCTACACCTTATATTGAAGTCTTGCTTGGTGATGCACCAAAAGATGTCCTCGAGGTATTACGGGGTCTAGGACTTACTAGGACAAAAAGCATGAGCGACAAATTTGTAGCATTTTTATACAAGTTATTATAAGCCTTGAGAAATTAAATTACCGACGGTTACATTCAGAAAAACTTGAATACAGATAGCTTCCAATTAATAGGCACATCGTACCAAGACAATGTATCTTAAACAGTCGCTGATTGGTTATAAGAAAAATGTCTATATGACCTCCTTACCATGACCCATCTTGTCCTTATACCAACCAGGTTCCCTAGCACACTTTTCTGTCAAAAATCACCCAACAAATTAATAATTGCCCTGTAATTCATGCATACTTGTGTGAATTCAATGTCAGAGCCCGGAGCCTTTCACTCCTTTTCAGCTCATTCCTTACCACTCGGTATCTTGTAGATTACAGAGCAGGACAAGTGTGCCAAATGGCATATAATAAGGATCACTCGTAATTGTCCGTAGATTAAACTAAGTCACGAGATGTTGTGGTACTGTATTCTAAAGGTGCTCCAAACAATGCAGTAAATATATTCTGAAAACAGTCATTGAGACAGACCCTTTCATTGATCCCAATAGCTGAGTGAACTGGACAGATGTTGACACAAATGTCATCTGACTGATACTGCAGGCTCATAGAGCAGGGGCAATATTTCACGAGAAAATAAGTGTTTCAGATATCCATTAACAAAGATGATTAAAGTTATGCTTCTATTAGTGGTGGTAATTTTAATAACAGTTTAACACACCTACTTACAGCGATAAAATAACTACTAAAATAACATCTACTTTCTCTTTTTTAATCAAATCAATTTAATCAATTTAACTGTCGTTTCCTTACACCATCACTAAAATTACGGGAGAAGGGTGAACACGTTTCTGACCAGGAAGAAAATACGTTGCTCGAATACAACATTGACACAACACGTATTGCTTATTGACTCCAACCAAATCCTGCTTATTTTTTAACGTCAACGCGTTTGAATGATTGCATCTTAGAAAATACCTTAATTGTTTTCCATATAGAAGTCGTTTTACTTCTGACAACTCTGCTGGTGGCAAGTATTTGTCAAGCAACTTTTCGACGTTTTCAACTTCAGCTGACATGTTGGCAGTTCAGTAGTGGAATAGTTTACGTTGTCGTAGGGGGGCCTGCTATTCTTATCTCCAAATTCTCGAAACTCTTAGTAGATTAGCTAAGCAGGTAATTCTTGAATATAGCATGTTCGTAGGTTATCCTTTATTTAGGCTTCAATATATTTCCATTGGTTCAAATATATTCTGACAAAGACCAAGAAGGCACTTGACACCAACACAACCACCCCCTTGGATAAAGTGCATTGTATCAATTTCACTTTCGGCTATTTCCGTCGAGCCCGCTGTTGGCAGAGTGGCATTGAATTAGTCCCAGATCTGGGTCAGTCAGTCATGGTTCGATAAGAGAATCCCAACTTCGTAAACATAGATTTCTAAATGGGTTTGTTAATTTCATGCATTTTAGTAAAGAACTACATTTTGTAATGTTACCACATAATCATTGCTCTCATGTTCAGCCATGTCGATAAAGGTCTACAAGTTTTGAGCGCTATCAAGAGACATTAACCATAACGTCCCGCACATTTTGATGGGATATTCTTCGATATCCTCACAAATTTTGTACACATAATCTTTAGCACACTTTGGATGACAATCAACAGAGACCATATACCAGTAATATATATGGTCTCTGCAATCAGCCAGTGCTTGAAAATATACTGATTTAAAAGCCTTGGCCTGTTAGCTGTAGCCTACTATAGGTCTAGTTTCTACCTCCCATGTATGGGGACCTGGTTTAGAAATAGGCATGACCCCAGTAGTGAGTTTTGTGACATATATCTTGCTGATAATTTGTGCGTTACAAGCCCCTGTGGCTAGAATAGAAGTCCCCTGTGCTCTGGATCAGGAGTGCCATACCTTGGTTGATTGTGTCACAATGTGTGTGATTGAACCTCTATGACTAGTGATATTGTTCATAATATCAACCACTTGTTTTCCTAGCCTAGATTTCATTATTTCCAGGCAGCTGTGACAGGCCTATCAAAGAAAAACAGCATTTAGCCAGCAAACTATGGTGGTGATTTGAGGTGAAATGGGGTTTAACGTCGCGTCCAAGATCATTGCACTTATATAGCGACGTGTACATGTACATTTGTGTGTCGGACTGATGCTGATTTATTGTGGTAGCTCACTGAGATACCATGCTGCAGTTTAACATGAATACCACACTCAGACACAGTATACTGACTCCGAGCCAAACAGTCCTTGTTTTAGCCCCTTATTGCCGAGCGCCAGACAGGGTAACAACAAGTACCATCTTTTAACGTCTTTTGGTATGACACAGCCGGGGTTCAAATCCCGGACCTTCCGCTCTCCGGGCGAACTCTCTACCACTAGTCCACGGAGGCGGTCACAAACTATGGAATAAATCCACACTTGAATAGAAATAGCCACACAAATTACAAACGACATACAATCCCATATTAAAGTGTGCATTGTGATGATAACAACCTGGCACATTTTTAATGGAACCAAATATTTAATCGTGCAAACTGCAACACACACTCAGTTTGATGTGGTCTCCATTGAAAAATGTGCCAGATTCTTATAATGACGCATCCTATTGCATCGATGGATCCATCTAGCAGCAGCATTTTGCACTTCTTGTTGCAGGTTGCAAAGATCTTGTCTGATGTTAATTAGTAAACTATTGCTGTTGTTGATTCTGGACAAAATATGTGATCTCAACTGTCAACATATTTCTGATCTGGCCAGTACTGGCCAGGAAAATAGCAGCTTTTGCACAGATGGTTAACATGTCTTTCCATGATCATGTTCTAGTCCAGGTTCTTCATAGTCGGATAAATGAATGCTGGAGTCTCCCACTAAACATGCTAAAGTGTTGATTCAGCAATAGTGCCATTTTTTGGCAGAGAATCGGGGGAGGGTCCCCACAAAATTGACAATCTCTCTTGGAGGGTCATAAATAGAGCATATTATATGAGTGTTCATGTCATACTATATTTATGAGACGAGTATCGTAAACATAGTATGACATGAACACGAATATAATGTTCTTTTTATTACCCAAGTGTTTAGTGTTTACCTATAAGGAGAGCAAATCCCAACAGCAGCAGAACCCTAATTTGTCGAATGACGTCAACAATCTTCAGCTGTGACGTTTCTAGTGTGACATCATTCCGACCTCACATCACAATAAGATTCGAATGACGTCGGTATGACGGAAACAATACACTGTTGTCTTGTGACATGATATGACCCTAGGGCACATATTTTTTTTTAGCTCTGTTATGTTTGCCCTCGAAGGTAATAAAAAGTAATACACATATTCAAGGATAGTCTGTCTTACAGACCCTGATATAAATATATATCAAATACAGCCCATGCAAGTCTATAATGTTTGGCAAGTCTAGATCTGAAAATGAAGAGAGTCACTGGGCTCCTTTTTATTATATTTTTATTAAGATAACTGAACAACTGTTTTTTTATGTACGATATGTTCATTTCAGAGACTAGATTTTAGTCTAATTCAAGGAGGGTCTTGAAAACACAGACAGTTTATTTAAGAAAAAAATGAAGAGTGGTAGTTGTTTATCTTACCATAAAACACTGCAGGGAGAATAAACCATGACCGACTGGACCGAACTTAATGCCAAATATAATAAAATTAAAAACTAATTGGCTACACATTGTCACCCTCCTGACCAATCTAAGCAAGTTTGTCATGAAAGGTGTAAAACATTATATAAGCAATATTTTGCCTTATGAAAGCTTTTATTTCAGGTGACTGTGGAGGTGTGATGTCGGCTGTGGGTCAGCAGCTCTTAGGGGAGGTTGAACGTGTGTATGCTGCACAAGGCAAACGTAGGTCAAGTTGGAGGTGGTGGTTTGATATTAAGTCAATTTTTTGAAACAGCTAAAGAATTCTTGTACAAAGCACAAAGAAATAGAATAATTTGTTTCCTTCATGTTCAAGCGTATGTTATAGCTAAAATGGATAGAATTATCATTAAACCACCCGCATGTTATCAGAAATGAGTGGGCCATTGTAACTTGATAATGCCCTCATATTACTTGACGACGGGCCATTATCACGCCTGTTGTTAGGTGACGTCATAGGATAGGGATAAGTGACGTCACGTTCAAAAGTGACGTCATCTGGTTTATTCTAGGGCGTTTCCATATTTGTAAAAGTTGCTCTGTGACATTGGTGCCGATTGTAGTAAATGTTTCAAAACCCATATTGTTGTTTCTTTTTATTTGGTAACAAATTCCATCCATTTAGCTATAATAAGGGTAACGCTATTTTTCAGGGCATTATCATTTGCAGAAGCCCTTGGTCTTTTCAACTGCCCTCTTTCGTGGGGCAGTAATGGAAGACCTCGGGCTTCTGCAAATGTTAATGCCCTGAAAAATAGCATTACCCTTATAATAACACGTCCCCAACTATATATACCATATTCGCCGTCATAAGCATCCCGGGGGCTTAGAAATTGGCAGAGCGAGGCGCTTATTACAACCATACACAACAAGTAAAATTTGTTTTCAGGGATCGAGCCATAGTGAACAAACATAGTTCAAACATTGATGAACTAAAACTTTCTTGATAATAGTTACTGCGCAATAATATACCCTTTATGCACTTCTATTTCCTGTTTTAAAAATAAGTGATATACATGTACACAAGAAAATGTCATGTAAATGTTCACTCCTAGTAGAAAATGCTAACAAAAGATTACTTGCAGATTGCTCTAGAAGTTGGTCAGGGGTCACTTATTGGAGCAGGGTGCTTAATACGGGCGAGTATGGCACCAGTATTGTATCATAATACTACACAGTATCACATGCATCAGTCTCCTCGTGTCTCAATGTCGTTCCACCTTTACTTGAATACTTATTGTTTCCAAGTTGATGGAAACTGATAAGGTCAGTTCTCTAAGTGTCTGTTGTGCTCAGTAAATATCCTGTGGTGTGAATGACTAATAACTGCCTTTAATAATTGAATGAAATTGGTGTCAGTTGCATGTATTCGAGAAATAACTTGAGGTGTACAGAGATACCGTAGAATGGATTGTGACATTGATAAGTAGAGAATTAAGAAGACAAGTTGAAACTATGTGCCTGATACACATGTAAAGGGTATGTACGTTTTGAGTGGATTTTGACAAAGTTTAGCCTGGTGTTTAAGGGAGAAGATATGGATGCTGCTTTGCCTATATGAACAAATGGATATCTTTTTATCAAGATACCATATTTTGGTATAATATGTTAAAACTGGCTTATCTATGGTCATATACGATCATCACTCATTTTCTGGTTATGTAAAACCAGATTCTTGCATGTAAAGCCATTTGGAACACTAAATATTTATACACCCTGTTCTGAAGCATCCGGGAACAAGTGTCATGTTCCGGGACTCAGTGGTTGATTCATGGGTACACAACAGCTTTGCGGACAGCGTTAAAGTTGGCATGCAGCACGTGCTTCTTGCTGGATGAGCGTAAAATGCGCATGCTCTAGACACAGTTTATTTCAGTTGGCTTTTGGCGTTCATGTGGGCAAGTAGTAAATGGATATCTCTCTCTAAGTTACAAAATAGTGAATTAGAATAGTACAGAAACAGAATAGAATAGATTAGAAATAGTTGAGAGAGTTACCCATTTACATTGTTAACATACGGCAACTTCACTTTGAGTTTCAAATCCATTTCATTTTATCTTATTACATTTTCATTGTTCATTACATTACAAGGGGATTTCACGTTTAGTTGATTACAAGTGGATTTCAAGTTTAGTTGATTACAAGGGGATTTCACGTTTAGTTGATTGCAAGGTAAGTTCATGTTTAGTTTAGTTTAGTCTTCCACTGCGAACCATTGGTAGCAGAGCGTGGTTGCTCTGAATATGGGCTAGTTAGTTAGTTATAGTGACTGGTGTTGGGCTAGTCAGTTAGTTATAGTGACTGGTGTTGATAGTTCTTATTGTCAAAACGTCATTCAAAGATAGGATAGATTTTCAGGTGTAGTTTGATGCTCGTTTGTTCACAATGGCTGGCAAAGCAACAAGCATGTCTGATATAGCAAAGTCTGAAGGTGGGATAATAAATCCCGAAAAGGCTACAAGTATTAGCGATGTAGATAAGCTGGAGTTAAAAATAGCTCAGCTTAAAAAACAAAAGATGGCAGCAAAGTCTGCATTGACAAAGGCTCAGAATCAGATGCTGAGTTTGATAGACCAGGAAGATCTTCCCACACGGAAAGCAGTGAGGGATGAGATAGATAAGGTGAGTTCACTTCAGGCTAAAGCTGTTGACTTATTGTATGACCTGTCCAAGGCATACGACCAACATGAAGATTACGAGAATGCCAAGAAAACATGTAAGGAAATAGATGAAGTCTTAGAATACAGCAATGATGCAATACACAATGCAAGATTGCATTTGAGCAGCAGGTCAGATGACAGCTCGTCTTCTGATATAAGGTCAGTAATGTCGAGGATATTTCGCCCAAGTAACACAAAGAAACACATGCCTGTGAAACTTAAAGCCACAAAGCTTCAAGAAGAACAATGTGTTCCTTCTGTTCATCAGAATGTTGGTCATGGTGAGTCAGTTGCACCAGACATAGATATCAGTAGAATAGAAATGGAAGCACCTGCCTCTCCTGAAATAGAAAAGAGGAAATTACATTTGACATATGACCTGATAGCAACTCTAACCACCAAATGAAATCTTTCAATGAAAGGAATTCGACATCGCATACCCAAAAAATTGGTGTTGATATGTGGAGCAAGATGAAACGGGTTTCAATTCCTGTGTTTCATGGAAAGATTACGAAAGTTGGAAAGCTGCTTTCATGGCATGCTTGGACAGAGCTAATGCCACTAATGTGTATAAGCTTTTACAACTAAAGCAATACGTGCAGGAGAGGCTTCTCATCTCATTTCAAGGCTAGGTCACACTGCTGCAGCTTATGATGTAGCTTTAGAGCGGCTTGAGAGAAAGTATGGAGGTAAAAGAAGGCAGATTGCTTTAAAAATGGAGGAAGTTTATAACTTCAGACCAATTCATCCTGGCAACGCCAAGGACTTAGAGAATTATGCCGAACTTTTAGACATTACTGTTGTCAGTCTTAGAGAAGCTGACAAAAATGAGGAATTGGGTGACGGTGTCTGTACTCCCAATTGTTGAGGAAAATGACCGGGTCAATGATAACAAATTACCAAAGATGGCTGTTTGAACTCCAACGTCAGGAATCAGTTGAGACATTAAGAGAATGGGTTCTAAAAGAATCCAAATTTCAAACTGTAGCATCTGAGGTGAAACTTGGTATTGTTGAAAGGCCCAATGATAGGGAACATAAGTCCAATCAAAAGTCAGGATCTTTCTTTGGCAGGAAACAGGTACAGCTCTGTCACTTTTGTCACGAGAAGGATCATCAGATAGTAAACTGTAAAAGCTTCAAAGCTTTAGATATCCAGAAACGATGGGTCAAAGCAAAAGAATTGAAGCTTTGCTTTTGGTGTTTAGGAATCCGTCATGTTGGGAAATTATGTTCCACAAATGTGCCATGTGGTATTGAGGGATGTCGGTCGACGCACAATAGATTACTACATGATAGAGATTGGGTAAACTCACAGATGAAGGACACTGTGATTACAAGCAACAAATCTGAAGAAGCTCGGAATGAGTACAAACAGACAACAATGTCTACTACGAGAAAAGAGTATTCCTTTCTTCACTCAGGAAAATTCCTGTTATACTGAAAAATGGAAATCACAAAATACAGGTCAATGCTCTTCTGGATGATGCCAGCACACAAACTTATATCAATGAAGACGTAGCATCAGAGTTAGGTGTGCATGGTCAAAGAAAGACCGTATCTGAATGTTCTCAACAGCAAGAAGGAAACCTTTAATAGCATGGCTGTTGAAGTGGGATTAGAAAGTGTTGATGGATCGGTGAACATGAACATATCAGCATTGACTACAACAAAGGTCACAGGGATGATGAAACTCATGAAAGTGATTGACTGGAACAAACCTGCACATGATTGGAGTCACTTGCGTAACATTGAGTTTCCAAAATTGAGTTCTAGACCAATTGTGGACATATTGATTGGAATGGACTATTTGGAACTCCATTGTTCTCTCAAAGATGTTTGTCATTCTGGTGATCCTATAGCAAGGCTAACGCCATTGGGGTGGACGTGTGTTGGTAAAGTACACGAATCAGAAATACATACTGCACATGTGACTGGCTCATTCTTTGCTCATGATTCACACAACAAGCAACGAAATAGAGCTTGAGGCATTAGTAAATAGGTTCTGGGAGGTTGAAACCATTTTAGGGTACACGCCCTCTATGACACGAACTGAGGAACTTCCTGTGGATGCTGTAAAGGAATCACGTACCCATGATTCAGAGAGGTACACTGTTGGTGTTCCATGGAAAGATAAATCAAAGCTTCCTGAAAGTAATTATGATAGTGCTTTCAAACATCTGAAACAAATTGAGAAAAGGTTATCCAAAGATGTCACAATTCAGACAGCATATGGGGACGTGATATCACAGTATCTGAAAAAAGGATACATCACATAAGTAGTATAGGTAATGGGGGTTCTGGCTCACTTCCACTGGAGCTGGATTTATATACCTATACTGCTACTACAGATGGAATTTTTTATGCCAAAATGGTTATGCGATTCAACGATAGTCATGAGATTCAGCTAAATTGACTCCAGCTCACCACAACCTGGAGTCTATGATATAAATTTTTATAGGTAATGATGGTTCTGGCTCACTTCCACTGGAGCCAGATTTATATTAAACGAAATATCAATATTAATTAATAATGGATAAAATTT